GGGACCACAGGCGCCCGCCACAGCGCCTGGCCATTTTTTTGGTTGCAGCCGTCATTATTGTTTGGCAGGCCCGGGCTGGATTCAAACCCGCCACCTTAGGTATATGTGGCTGGTGCCTTAGCCACTTGAGCCACAGGCGCCGAGCCAGTGTTGAACTTCTTTTCAAAATAATTTAATTAATGAGCTTTAAAATTTTTCAACGGCACACTGGTTGAATGAAAATCACTGTTATAGATGGTCAATTCAGTTGTTAAACTTTGCCAGCTGGTTATAATTATGTAGTATATAAAGGGTGAGGAATACTCTTTTAAATAGGTTAGTTAGGGAACGTCTTTCTGAGGAGGAAATGAGGGAGCAAGCCACCACTATCTTAAGAATATAACAGGCAATGGGAACAGCAAGTACAAAGGCCTTGAAGTAGAAGCAGGCCTAGTGTCATCTAGGATCAGCAAGGTAGCTAGAATGCAATGGGTCAATGTAGATGATGTTATTGAGAAGTACTGGGAAGCAGAGTTCTCAGGGCCTTGTATGCCATTGTAAGGACTTTGGCTTTGACCCTGATTGGAAGGGGAACTATGGGAGAGTTTCAAGAAGAAGAGGGACATACAAGTAGAGAGGCAGTGTTACTTAGTGCTGGTTATATGTAATAGTTTTTCTGGGTAGACCTATCAGTTGAAATCTCAGCCTTTCCATTTATTACCTGTGTCCTTGAATAAGTCACTTCACTTCTGTCTTTTAGTTTCCTTATGCATAGACAGGGGATACAAGCATTTCCCAGCTCATAGGGTTTTTTGAGGATTAAATGAGCAAATATTTCTAAATGTGCTTATAGTAATAGCTGATACTTAGTAAGAGATCAATGAACGTTAGCTCATAGCACTGTAAGAGTGCTTTATAAAGAATTGTGGTTTTCTTATTGACTCTTGCCCAACGAAATTTTCTCTTTTGGGGGATTAGGACAGAATCTCACTCTTTTGCCCTAGATAGAGTGCCGTGACATCATCATAACTCACAGCAACCTGAACTCAGGGATCCTCTTTGTCTCAGCCTACCAAGTAGCTATAACAACAGGCTCCTGCCAGGATGCCTTGCTAGTTTTTCTATTTTCAGTAGAGGCGGGGTCTCGCTCTTACTCAGACTGGTCTTGCATTCCTGAGCTTAAGTAATCCACCCACCTCAGCCTCCCAGAGTGCTGAGGATTATAGGGGTGAGCTACCCACTACACTTGACCCCTAATTTTCTTAAATTGTTTTAGCTTTTGTTTGTTCGGAGTGCTTGACAGGTCACTGGTGAATCTTCTTACTAATTGGGGCATGTCCAGCCAATACAAATTGTTGGGGATGAAAATATTTGATGAGTGGCTTGGCGCAGTGGCTCATGCCTGTAATCCTAGCACTCTGAGAGGCCGAGGTGGGTGGATAGCTGGAGCTCACAATTTGGAGACCAGTGTGAGCAAAAAGCAAGACCCTATCTCTACCAAAAATAGAAAAATTGAGGCAAGAGGATCCCTTGAGCCCAGGAGTTGGAGGTTGCTGTGAGCTATGATGACGCAGCACTCTACCCAGGGCAATAGCTTGAGACTGTGTCTCAAAAAAAAAAAAAAAGAAAAGAAAAGAAAATATTTGCTGTGACAACCAGTATTGACTAGGATGTACTCCTTTGGAAGCAAACCAGCATAATATCAAGTAAAAGACTTTTGATCTGTGGTATTGTATTGTGTTTATCATTTTGCTTTTTTGAGGTGTTCATCAGAGGGTAAGCTCTGGGACCTGTGGAGTTCAACTGGAAAACTGCTTTCCTGGCCTCCAACAAGGTCACTTAAACTTCTGCTGCCCGTCAGAATGGACTGATGGGAATTTAAGAGAACAATAGTTCTCTCTTACATGGTTTTGCTGTCTGCAGTTTTGGTTACTAGTGGTTTTAGTTACCCAAGGTCAACTGTGCCCTTGTGAAAATATTAAATTGAAAATTGCAGAAATAATTCATAAGTCTTAAATTACTGTACATACTACCCACCTGTTAGTCATTTAGTATCTGTCTTGGTTCTGAGATTCAAAAAATAGTGTATATATAGGGTTTGGAACTATTTGAGGTATCAGGCCTCCACTGAGGATTTCGAAATGTATCCCCCACCGTATTCTTAAAAATATTAGGATGCTGAAAGCACTTTCCCAGAGGTTGATCAGTGTGCACAATGTTGGAAAGGGCTG